TCAAAGGAAGGGATCCAGGCTATCAATAGCCATATGGAAAAATGCCCCAAATCACTAATAATTATATAAATGCAAATTAAAGCAACTCTGAAGTCCCACCTCACACTCATTAGATTGGCAAAGATGACAAAAAAAGGAAAATGACCAATGTTGGAAGGGATGTGGGAAAACAGGCACACTGATGTACTCTTTGAAGCTGTGAATTGGTCCAGCCTTTCTGGAAATCAGTTTGGAATTATGGACAAAAAATTCTCTACACTAAACGAACTCAGTGACATCACTACTAATCATATGCCTCAAAGAGATCAAAGTAAGAGGAAAAAGACCCATACAAAAATATTTATGGCAGCTCTTTTTGTAGCGGCAAAGAACTGAAAACTAAGTAGTATCATCAATTGGGGAATAGCTGAACAAATTATTATATTATGAATGTAACAGAATATTATTTGACTGTAAGAAATTATGAAATGGACAGTTTCAGAGAAACCTTGGAGGACTTGTATGGACTGATGCAAAATGAGGTGAGCAGAGGCAGGATAAAAATGTACAAACTAACACCATTGCAAAGATAAATATTTTGGAAAGAATTAAGAACTCCGATCCATGCAGTGACCAACCATGATTCCAGAGGACTGAGGATGGAGAATGAGGGATATATTTTTGAACATGACCAATTCAGGAATTGGTTTTGCTTGACTCTGCATATTTGTTATAGAGGTTTAGTTTGTTCTTTTTTTTCCAGTGGGATAGGGTTGAAAGGGAGAGAAAATAAGCGTGTATCAATTGAAATATATATACATATTATATGTTTTAAAAATAACTGGTCTCTGAGAGCTCAATACTGTTTTCTCTCCTGTACTTCCTGTCTCCTCTGATGTTTATTCCTCCTCACTGAGTCACAGATTCTCAGAATTGGAAGGGACTTTAGAGATTATCTAACTAGCAGCTCATTCCATAATAGAATGTGACTTTCTTAAGGTCAGGAGCAGGTCTGTTTTTATCTCCACATCTACTCCAATCTTTAATTCTCTCTATAACGCACTTGAAAAGTAGTCATTCAGCCTCTCCTCTAAACCTCCTAGGATGGGGAACTCATTACCTGCTGAGGCAGTCTATTCCACTTTTGGACAGTTCTAATTGTTTTAAAGTAATCCCTTCTTTTTTTTTATATTACCTTCATTACCAAATATATCCCTTTCCCTTCTCTTATCAAACTAACCAATTTATCACCCAAGTCTGACAATATATAGTGCATAGTTCCCTACCTCTATAAAATAGGGAGGAAGGGGCATTTTTTCATCTTTTCTCCCAGGCTGTTTGGTCATTATCATTATTAAGCATCCTGTTTTATTTCATTGTTCTCATTTACATTGTTGTAGTCCTTTTGTATATTGTTTCTTGGGCTCTACATACTTTACCTTGCATCAGTTCATATAGATCTTTCCAAACTTCTCTGTATTCATGTGTATCATTTCTTACAACACAGAACTATCCCATTACCTCCATGGACCATATTTTGTTTAGCTCTTCCCCAAATGATGAGCATTCACTTTGTTTCCAGTTCTTTGCTACCACAGAAAGTGTTGTTCTGAATATTGTGGTGTAGGTGGTGGTGGATATTTTGTTTCCTCCCCTCCTTGTAGTATATGCCTACCAATGGGATCCCTGGGTTACTTTTTAAGTGTCATTCCAAAATGCTCAGACCAATTCCCTGCTCCACCAGCAATGCATCGTTGTGCCTGTTTTTCCACATCCCCTCCAACATTGACTATTCCCATCTTTTGTTATCTTTGCCAGTTTTCAGGTGTGAGATAAATCCTCAGGGTTGCTTTTCTTTATGTTTCTCCTTGTATTAGTGATTTGGAGCAATTATTTTTGTTATGGCTGTTAATCATTTGCAATACAGAAGACCTTCTACAGTTCTCCTGGCTTCCAGAGATGTTACCTGTAAGATTACTCACCATCTACTCTGTATATATCTTATACGGATACATTTATTTATGTGTGCACCACCCCCCCCCTTAGAATGTAAACTTCTCAAGGTCAGGAACTATTATTTTTGCCTTTTTTTTTTGTATGTGGAAATACTAGTAGGATCTACTTATTGAGAGACAGTGTAGTGTAATGGAAAGAAAGCAAAATTTGGAGTCAGAGGGCAAATCTTTGTTCAAATTCTGGCTGTTACTTCCTGTATGATCTCTAGGTGGCATAATAGAGCCCTGGTCTTGGAATCAGGAAGACTTAAGTTTGAATCCTGTCTCAGACACTAGCTATGTGACCTTGGGCAAATCACTTAACCTCTGTCTGCATCAGTTTCCTGAATTGTAAAATGGGCATCATAATAGCACTTACCTCCCAAGGTTTTGGTGAGGATCAAATGAGATAATACTTGTAAAATACTTTGCAAACCATAAAGTGGTAAATAACAACAACAACAACAATAATAATAGCTAATATTTGTATAGTACTTTCAGGTTTGGGGAGCACTTTACAAGTATTATCTCATTTGATCCTCCCCATTTTACAGTTGAGGAAGCTGAGGCAAGCAATGGTTAAGTGACTTGCCTAGAGTCAAATACAACTAGTGAGTGTCTGAGTCAGGATTCAGACTCGGCTTCCTGACTCCAGTTCAGCATTCCATCCACTATACCACCTCATGGTTATTATGATTATGATGATGATGATTATCCAGGAAAAATACTTTCTATCCCTTCAGACCTTACCTTCAGAAGCCAGCTCAAATCTCACGTCTTTTAAGATGTGGTGATTTCTTCATGCTCTACCACATAGACCACACATTGTCTATACTGCCACCCTGGTGCACACCCATTCTGGGGGGGGGCACCTGCCTGGGGCTGGTGGGGCTTACTCTCTACCCCAGGCTCAGAGAGTTAAAAGCAGAAGCCACTCCCAGGAGTTCAAGATCAGTATCTTCAAGCGATACTAATATTTGCTAGCTTGTTTACTAGAAGAATTGGATGATGGGAAAGATGTCGGGGTCCTCAACAGAAATAAAGAAGTGAGCAAGAGAGAAAGGGTTGGACTGGCTGACCTCTGGGCCTTGTAACTCACAAGGGAATGCTGGGAAAAAGCCCCAACCTAGGAGCATTCAGCCTATCTTAAAGAAAGAAAGTCTTTGGAACATAGCATTGTTATGCATATGGACTCTGGCACTATGGGGAGAATATGTATGCGTGTGTCCGTAAGATCATATAATATTAGGACTAAGATGAGCCTGAGGATATAAAATGTCCAAGCTGAAAGGGACCTTTAAGATACTGTGGCCTATTGCCCTCAATTTAAAGTCTCCAAACGGTTGAAGTGATTCACCCACAAGTAAGTGGCCAAGGTGGGATTCATTCCCAAGTGCTCTGCCTCTAAATCCGGCCCCCACAAAGAGGATTAAAATGCCCAGGATGGCAAGAAAAGGGTCTGGGGGAGTGCAGGAGATTTCTTCAGTGCTTTCCTCAGTTGGAGAAGGATAGGTGACAATTTCTGGGTCCTGGGCCCAGGGCCGAGACTGTAGGCCCTGCTCGGGCCAGTTTGCCTGGCCCTGCCTGGCATAAGGATGGGTGGGTCTCTCTCTTGAGTCACCCAGCCTCCACCAGAGATGGGCTGCTTAACCCAAGGACCCTGGGAGCTCTGATGAAGAGCAGGAACCAGGAGGCATCAAGGCCTGCAGAACAGCTCCGCACTTTGATGGTGCAGATAAAATGTAAATGATAGGCAACTTGACATCCCACCCCTGGGAGCCAAATGCTTGGGTGCTTTTTTTTTTCCAGTTTGTTTCAACAGTGTCGCATTTCTTTAGTGCTTTGACGTTTGCAAAGATCTTTCCTTGCATTGCCCACTTTAGAGGGGCCACTATACATAGTAGAATCCCCATTTTGCAGATTAGGAAACCGAGCCTCAGGGAAATAAAGTGACTTTCCCAGGGTTATAGTAGGTGGATTCTTTACCATGGAATCAGGACAAAAAAATGCAGCATGGTACAGTTGAAAAATCAATGGACTTGGAGTCAGAGGACCCAGATTCAAATCCCACACCATCACACTAGCTGTGTGACCTTGGACAAGTCCTTTCCCTTCCCTTGGCCTCATTTTCTCATCTATAAAATAAAGGGGGGGGACAACTAGATGGTCTGTGAGGTTGGTGATCCTATGTGTGACTTTGAGTGAATCACTTTCCATCCCTGGGCCTCAGTTTCCTAATCTGCAACATGAGGATTTTGGCCTAGCTGGCTTCTGTGGATTGTTCCAGCTCTACATGTAGGGGCCTGTGAACCTGGTGTTTTTTAGCCTTGTGAAGAGAAGACTTGGTTGGAGGTGGGGGATGGGACATGCATGGTAGCCTTCTTCAAGTATCTGCAAGGCATTCCTGTGGAGGAGCCATGAGAGCTGGCCCAAAGCTTTGGCCCCATAGGGCTGACCCAGGAGCCCAATCCAGGCTTGATGGCCTGGGCCAAAGAGGACTGGGCTTTCCTGAGACCCCTACAGTCAGCTGAGGGGCAGACCACAGAGGGAATGTTCTCTGAGGCCCCTTCCAACTCACATTTTGTGGTCCTTTGTAAGAAGCCTTGAGTTTGGCAGTGGCCTTTGGGATTCTTCCAGGGCCCAACACACAGTAGCCATTTAATAAATGTTTGTCGAACTGACTCCTCCTTCTCTGAAACAAAGTTTAGATAAGACCTGGCAGTGCAATGATGAGAACACTAGATTTAGGGCTTAAATTCCAGTTCTGAAATCTCCAAGTCATGTGATCTCGGGCAAGAAGACTCTAGGCCTCAGTTTCCTTTTCTGCAAAACAAAGGGCTTAGCTCAGAGGGTCTCTAAGGTCCCTTTGAGCTCCTGATCCCACTTTCTTGGAGAGCACGATTTAGCCAGTCAGTCAATAAGCATTTATTCGTTATCTTTGATGAAATGATTCATACATCTGCAATGAAATGTTCTATCTTATAAAGATTGATAATAACAATAAATTCCCCTCTTGTCTTTCTCCAGGTCTTGCTAATAATGAAGAGGCCCTGATAAAACCCAAACTGAGCTTCCTGGGGGACCAAGTGGTGATCCCAGCCGGTTCCCTGTTCGATGTAACTTGCAGGTAAGGATAACAAGGTCAAGGGTCAAGCTAGAGGATGTGGGGCTTCCGTAGTATCGCTTAGACTGACCTCAGAACCACCATCACACTCACCATAAAGAAGCTATGATAGTTTCTCTCCTGCCACTAGTGGATTCAGGGCTAGCTTTGGAGTCAGGAAGACCTGGGTTCAAATATCACTTCTTTTTTTTTTTTTTTTTGCTTTTTGTGAGGCAATGGGGGTTAAGTGACTTGCCCAGGGTCACACAGCTAGTAAGTCCTAAGTGTCTGAGGCTGGATTTGAACTCAGGTCCTCCTGACTTTAAGGCCAGAGCTCTATTCTCTGCACCACCTAGCTGCCCCCAAATATCACTTCTGATAATGCTTGTGACTTGGGCAAGCCCCTTCTCGCTGGGCCTCAGTTTCCTCCTCTGTAAAATGAGGGGTTGGACCCCTGGGTCCCTTCCAGCCTTCAATCTTGGATTCTCTATGTGATCTTGTGTCCCTCACTCCCTTTCCCTGCATCTCCATTTCCATCTCTGTCAAACTAGCTGACCTCTGAGGATACTAAGACTGGGGGTATTATCCTATTGTAAGGCCAAGGTTCCACCCAGACTCCATCAAAAGTCCAGGCTTTTCAGTTTAATCTATCTATCATACTCTGATCCTATGAAATGCATTGAATTGAAGGAATGAATGAGTGCTTTGCCAACCATCCCTTTGAACGGCCCTCCAGTTGATGCCCAGAGTAGCCAGAGAACCTTCCTTAGATCATGTGTCCTAGGGAGGGACACCGTTCAGACCTGTGTGAGCTTGCATGCCAGCCTGGCAGTATTCTCCCTCTAGGGTGACAGAGCCTGGGCTCTAGTGTTCTCTGAGGGCTCCCTGGCAGCGCTCCTTCCCCAACCTCTGAAAGCTATCCGCCAGCCTTATGGCTTCACTGGGCAAGGGAAGATGGGGAGACACAAAGTTGTCCTGATTGTGGAGGCAGGGAGATGGAGAATGAGTAGACCCTTTTTTCTCTTTAATTATCTTTTATTTATTTACTCATTTATCTATTTATTTATTTGTATTTATTTATTTATGTATTTATTTTAAAAAATTATTTCAGGGCTGCTTTGCCAGCTGGTTGACTCTTTCCTCTCCAGTGCTTTCCAGTCCTCTTTTCCCTTTGTTCCTTCTCCTTTTCCTCCTCTTTCTCCTGTACCTTTGTTTAGTTGTTGTTTTTTTTTTTAGGCAATTGGGGTTAAGTGACTTGCCCAGGGTCACACAGCTGGTAAGTGTCAAGTGTCTGAGATAAGATTTGAACTCAGGTCCTCCTGAGTCCAGGGCTGGTGCTCTATCCACTGCACCACCTAGCTGCACCCCCCTTGTTTTTGGTGAGGCAGTAGGGGTTAAGTGACTTGCCCAGGGTCACACAGCTAGTGTCAAGTGTCTGAGACAAGATTTGAACTCAGGTCCTCCTAACCCCAGGGCCAGTGTTCTCTCCACTGCGCCACCTAGCTGCCCTCACCTGTACCTTTGGAAAAGCCCAGAGAAGAGGTTGAGTCTGTGGGTTCAGGAACAATGTCACTGGCAGCTGTATCCTCCCTTTCTCTTCCTACTAACTCTCCAGGAAGAGGTGGGGTGGGGAAAGGGATTCTCAGACATCTAATGACCCCTGGCCAGAAGATAGTCATGCCTCAAACAAAAACCCATGGGCCACAGGTACCACAAGACAGCTCACCAAGGACCTCTAATCCTGACAAGGTGGTACGCTGGGTTCAAATCCCAGTTCAAAGTACGCGTGATCCTTACTTTGTGACCTTGGAAGTCACCTCCCCCTCTGGGCCTCAGTTTCCCCCCTCTGTCAAGTGAAGGGTTGGCCTGGATGGCTTCTGGGGCTTCTTCCAGCTCTAAAGTTAGGAGCTTATGATGCTGCCACTATTGGGGTGCCACAATAAGACCTCATTCTCCAGGGAACCCAGTTGATGTGACAGTCTGGTTCTGAATCGGTGCCCACAGCCCCTGGCCTGCCCCCTGGCACAAGCTCTACGTGTCATGAGGGAGGCAACAATCTGTCTGTTAGCTGTTGCCCTCCAAGTGATGGGACCCTACTAAGTTGTCTTTCTGCAAAAAGAACTTTGAGTAATGCCAGAGGGTGAAGGAGCCCAAGTCCAAGGAGGCATGACCAGTGATGGGCACAAGCTGCCAGCTGATTCCTGCAGCTGCTTCGGGGTGGATGGACTAAAGCCTCCTAGGTTGGCTTTCTTACTGGGCTGGTCTGCCACGTACTGGGTGCCAATGAGTGAGTGGCTCTTGGGCTCTGAAAGCGAGTGTGATCTTACCCAGGCCATAGTGCTACTTCTTTTTGCCTGGCTCACCTCTGGGCATGTCAGTGATCATGCCAATGAGGGCAGAGGGAGACCTGGGCTTGAGCCCCACCCCTGCCAGTGCCCAGCTGGAGGACCTTGCTCGCATCGCTGTCGAATGAAGAGGTTGAAGTTCTCTCCGTCCCCTGTTCTAGAGGGGAAATAGAATTTGATCTTGGCTCTCAACTCAACACACATGTTCAAGATCCATCAGTCAACCAGCCCACAAAGATTTATTCATCACCTGCTATGTGGGGCAGGAAAGAAAAAGAATGAACTAATCTCTACCCTCAAAGAGCTTACATCCTAACAGGGGAGACAATAAGTACTTACACACACACACATATATATATATATACACACATATATACACATACATATATACACACATACATATGTATATATATATATGTACATACACATATATACACACACATTCACACATACATGTAGTAAATCTAAGGGGCAGCTAGGTGGTACAATGGATAGAGTGCCAGTCCTAGAGTCAGGAGGACCTGAGTTTAAATCTAGCCTCAGACACTTACTAGCTGTGTGACCCTGGGCAAGTCACTTCACCCTACCTCAGTTTCCTCATCTGTAACATGAGCTGGAGGAGGAAATGGCAGGCCACTATAATATCTCTGCCAAGAAAACCCCAAATGGGGTCACAAGGAGTCAGGCACAACTTGAAAATGACTGAACAACAACAACATTAAATCCAAAGAGATTAAGCACACATACCTACAAGATAGTTAGGGAAGGGGGCATAGTGAAGATCAGGAAAGACTTCAAGATCTGACCCATGCCACATTTGGCTTCATGTATTGGATGAAGATAACCCTTGCCTACAGATATGAAAATGGCCCACCTCAGGGCTCTTTGGACAGCTGGAGGAAGACAGGCTGAAGACTAGAGACAGCTGGGGGCTTGGGCAACTCCTGTTTGGTCTTAGGGGCTTCTCTCTCCTCTATTCTTCTTTGGTTGCTGCTAACCCTAAGTCACACCGTTGTGTAGAGTTATCCAAAGAGGGTGTGAGTAGGGGTCCTAAGAGGAAAGCTCCTGGGGGCTTGGCATGGGATAGTCACTAAAAAAATGGGATGTCATGGAATACATTCATTCCATAAATACATTCACTTCTTATCAATGAAAGCCAACTTCAGATCAAAGGTAACAAAAGTGAGACTTGTTTCAGGCGACAATGAGCAAAGCACCACAATTATTGAATGCAAGAGTTTGAATTTGGGAATTCTCTTAATTGCTAAGCAAAGCAATGTGACTCTTGCTGTTGTTATTAGCATCTTCTTTATGTGCAATGGGGCTTTCTGCTCCAGCTGGTAGAGCCAAAATATTGGCCCTCGTGCCATGGTGGAAGAAGAATCGTGAAAGTCATTGGCATCAATGATGGCATGCTTTGAGAAACATGGAGCCCAAAACCAAGCCCACCCAGCATGTTAATAAGATTGGAATTATGGTATTATTTTTCTAAGTTAAGGGTAGGGATAAGGGACTGGACCAGGCCTGTGATTTCACTGGCATAGGAAACTTCTAGATGAGAAAACTCCCTTACCAAGGAAGGTTGCCAACCTCTCTGCAACATAGAGAGTTGCCTGGAACCCTGAGAGGGTAAATGACTTACCCAGGGTCACACAGCCAGTATATGTCAGAAGAGGGACTTAAATCCAGGGCTTCCTGGCTTTCTGTCCATGACATGCTTTTATAAATCATAAATATGAAAATTGTAAAGGATTTTTTCAATTAATAAACATTTGTGACAATTATGTTTTTATTGGGCATTTAACTTTTTGTGGGATAAAATTGTAAAATCCTTAATTTTATTGGAATAAAATTCAGTTTAAGAGAATGATTTATGCAGATTGTTTTATGCAAAGCATGTGTGTGGGATGATGGTTTTTTGGATGTAAAAGGTGGGCATCGATCCATGAGGTTTGGAAACCACTGCCCTAGAGCATGGAAAACAAGTAGCCCTGAGTGGTGTATGGGCAGGCTGGAGACATTCTACTGAAAACAGCCCGGCTTACTCGACAGACTGTTGGATTATTTTGTTGTTGTTGTTTTGTTTTTGGCACACATTTGACCAGCTGAATATTTCATTCTGTAATCAGTTATCCTTCTTGTCCTTTCTGGAAGTTCTGTGTTGATGTCTTTTAATAATGTGTATAGCTCTGGGAGGTCCTTCTACAGCTGTTGACTCTTTTTTCATTCTTTTCTTTTCTTTTTCTTTTTCTTTTCTTTTCTTTTTTTTTGGCTAGGCAGTGGGGTTAAGTGACTTGCCCAGGGTCACACAGCTCGTAAGTGTTGTGTGTCTGAGGCCGGATTTGAACTCAGGTCCTCCTGAATCCACTGCACCACCTAGCTGCCCTTTTTCATTATTTTCTTGCATCACTCTCATTTTTCTTCCCAATTTTTCCTCTACCTCTCTTACTTGATTTTAAAATCCTTTTTGAGCTCTTCCATGGCTTAAGACCAATTCTTATTTTTCTTCGAGGCTTTGGATGTAGCAGTTTTGACTTTGTTGTCTTCTTCTCAGTGTGCATTTTGATTTTCCTTGTCACAATAATAACTCTTTTACAGTCAGAATTTTGTTTCTGTTGTTTGCTGATTTTTTTCCAGCCTATTTCTTGACATTTAATTCTTTGCTAAAGTAGAGTTCTG